GGAATGTCATTAATAGCTTAAAATAACATACCATGTAATTAAATTTCTTTCTGGACGATAATGATGTTCAGATCAATTTGCTTGCACCTAAAATACTGTGTAACTAAATCACAAAGGAACGACTCTTTTCACCCACCTTTTCACACCTTATTTCTCTCCAAAACGTTTGTAAGGATCTTGCATTTTTTGCATTTCCATAGCACCAAACACACCATAAACACTACTTTCATTCCCTTGATCACTACTTTGATCATCATCTTGATCACTAGCTTGATCCATTGCCATTAAATCATCTCCATATTTAATACTTTGAATTCTCAAATTTTGATTTACCTTCACAAAATTCACCTCTTCCCCTTTCAATATACTAACAACTTCTTTCATCATTGGTCGTTTATCAGGCTCGCTCTGAACACATAACGCTGCTACACGAATCGATTGTCTCAGTTGAAACTCGTCGAAATTTCCCTTTAATTTAGGATCAACAAGATCCTTAAATTTTTCTTTAGCTATCATTGGCTCAACCCACTCTGTAATTGTTCTTTTAATGCCATTGGGCAGTTTTTCAATTGGTTTTCTCCCTGTGATTAACTCAAGGAGAAGAATTCCAAAGCTATAAACATCACAACTTTCAGAAACTTTACCCCACATAGCATATTCTGGTGCCAAATAACCCAATGTTCCTTTGACACGTGTCGTCATGTGACTAACCCCTTCTGGGATTAATTTTGCAAAACCAAAATCAGCAACTAATGGCTCAAAGTTTGAATCCAAGAGAACATTACTAGCTTTGATATCTCTGTGAATGATATGGGGTGTAACCTCATGATGCAAATACCTATAGCAAAACACACATATATGAGTATTTGTTTTGACTATACACACTAAAAGAGCAGTTCGGTACAGAAAACATCTCGCATTCACGCAGGGTCTGGGGAAGGGCCGTAACCAAAGGGTATGGTATAGACAACCTACCCTAATATAAATATTAGTGGCTGTTTTCACTGCTCGAACTCGTACCTATAGGTCACAAAAAGACAACTTTACCGCTGCTCCTTAGGTATAAAATATTTGAATAAGGTACAATTTCTACTTCATGAGGTACAGGTAAAGTTGTTTCCGTATGACCTATAAGTCTCGAGTTCGAGCCGTGGAAGCAGCCACTAATGCTTGCATTAGGGTAGACTATCTAAATAACACCCTTGATATGCGAGCCTTCTTCACGTGAACACATGATATTTTATGCACCCTGTGGTACATGTGCTAAAAGGAGTAGTAAATAAAGAAACTTACGAGAGGCCTTCTGCAGAGCCAATAGCAACTTTCATTCTTTTCTTCCAATCCAATTGAACTTCTTTAGATAAATGACCATGTAGATGTGAGAGTAAACTCAGATTTGGCATATAATCATACACAATTAACCTCTGTTCATTCCCAACACAATAGCCTCTTAGGCCTAACAAATTCTTGTGCCTAACCCTCCCAAGCACTTCAACTTCCACAGCAAATTCCATTTCTGCTTTGGAATTCATTGATTTCAACTTCTTTACTGCTATCTGCAATTCCAAAATTTTATTATTTAATCGATTATATAAATGCAAAGTAAGGCCGTATACAATAAATACAATATAGTTTGATTCTTTCTTGTATCACGTACATAGCGAAAATGTAATGTAAGACCGTAATTCGTATACAACATAGACAATGTGGTTCGATCCTTCATTAAACCTCTCGTATAGCGAGAATTTAGTGCAGCGAACTTAGCGATACGAATAAAAGTTGATTTATCTTTAGAAAAAATAAAATTTTGATATTTAAAAAACAAATTTTTTGCTTGGTATCTTCTCTCATTCCAATGATGATAACAATTCTTTTTAAAATATTATTAGACAAAGGTGGTTCATTTAATTGTTGAGAAAAGAAATAGGACTACCATTTTACAACAGAGGCATAACCAAAGTGTATGCTTCAAAGTAAAATATTGAATTCCTCTTCTTTAATTTGTTAAATCATCCATACATTTTTGAAATTATTTGTTGGGGAGTATGAATATATTGATTATTAATGATGTAATAATTAAGAAGCTAATTATTTATTTATTACCTGAAGACCATCAGAGGTTTTACCCCAATAGACACTGCCAAAACCTCCTTCTCCGAGCTTGTTATTCTCACTGAATCCATTTGTTGCTGCATATAACTCCTTGTATGTGAATATTCTCCAAGAATTTTCTCCACCCATTTCATTGTTTGGCCTACAAAAATCCCAATCAATTCACATTTTACTTATGTAAGTTGACATAATTTTTTAATTAAAGAGGGCAGTCACGTGCACAAAGTATCCGCATTTACGCAGGGCCATGGAAAAAGCCGCACTCCAAAGGGGGCGTGACGTAGATAGACTAACCTAATGCAAATATTAGTGGTTGCTTTCACGGTTCGAACCCCTAATCTATAGGTCTTATGGAGACAACTTTACCGTTGCTCCGGCTCCCCTTTGACAGCCTGACGTATCCCGCATTTATGCAGGATCCAGGGAATGGTCGCACTCCAACGGAGGTGTGATGTAGATAGCCTACCTTAATGCAAACATTAGTGGCTGCTTTCACGGCTCGAAACCATAACCTATAGGTCACACAGAGACAACTTTACCGTTGCTCCAAGGCTTCCCTTCGATATAAATTTTTAAAACATATAAAAAAAAGGTCATATGCAGCAAGAAATAGTTTCAACAAGATTAAAGAAATCCTTCACAAAATGTCACCTAATATGGCTCTTGGCTCAAATTATGTATATATCAGTAAAGAAATGTAAAAATATATTTACATGCAAAAAAGAAATTATATGCTACGACAAATGGTTTTAACAAGATCATAGAAAACCATCTACAAAACGTCATACTTTTGGTTGGAAGACAGCCCAATGCATAAAATATTTGGTATTCATGCAGAATTTAGAGAAGGGTCACACTCTCAATGGGTGTAATATAGATGACTGACAACCTACTCTAATGCAAACATTAGTGACTGCCTTCACGGCTCGAACTAATGCAAACATTGGTGACTGCTTTCACGGCTCTAACCTGTGACCTATAAATTACACAAAACAACCTTATCGTTGCTCTATGACTCCCCTTCTACTCAAACTATATAAAATGTAAAAATACATATACAGAATAAATTAGAACTATTTTAAAACTATAAATCCTGAATTCGCCCCTTTGTAAGGGGTAAACAAAAGAGTTTTTGGTTAGTACATACCCTTCTTCAACCTTTTCATCACCACAGCAACTGAAAGATGATCCCATAGCTTCTTTCTCAAAATGCAAACTCAATTTTTTCCTGGAAAATTTTAATTTGGTTGCCTCCTTTTTAAACCTGAAAAATGACAAGTTTATTTGCCATTTCGATCGGCTAATTAATTCTGCCGTCCTCTGCCGGCTTAATTCTGTAAATAATATATTTGCAAATATTTAATTGAAACTTCGTCTCTTAACTTATTTTTATTTTTCAAATAGAAAGGAAATTAATTATTGTTAATTGATTCATTTCGCTATTTAGCAGCAGCTTTTATATCCATTTTTGTCTATAACCTTTGCCTTTACATTACGGAAAATTAAGATTTATTTTCAGCTGTGAACTAGAGCTTAAGGTCTTTTTTTCTTTAATTTGTTTTACAGGACTAGTGAAATTACTATAATTGTTACAACTGAGAGGTTAAAAATTTCTGATTAGCAAAAACTGTTAATATCCTAATTAATTTTAGTGTTCGCGCAAAGTAATTAGAATAAGCATCGATGTTTGACCTGGTTTAATAATTAGCAGCCCAAATTAAATTGAATTCAAAAGTCCATCTTTTTGCCACTTGGCTTAAGGAAAATGGTCAAAAGGTTGCTATGTGGACCTTAATTTTAAGTCATATACGCAAGTAATATTTGAGTAATCACGAAATTGTATTAAAAGGAACTTCCAATAGAAATTTTAAAAAAAAGTGGTTGAAACTATTGTTTCATAGATTAAATTGGTCAATCACCCCAAAAGTTATTGTCTGTATATACAATGGCTTTTGTAGAATTGTAGTTATTTGGAATAGCTTTTGTATTTACCCCAAAATAATTCAGTTCCTTATTTTAATTTTTTTCCTTCTGTTTCGGATGATTTGTGGAAGTATGTGTATAAAATAATCCTTTATATTTGCAAATAAGGGTCGTTGTTTAATAGAGTTGTGCTGAAATTATAATACATGAATCATATTAGTAGGGTACATGATTTTTGATTATTAAATGCATATACTTTTCTTGGCAAATAGTCAGTTCATCACATGGAAAATAGATTAATAGAATACAAGAATTAGTGATTGTTTCCACGGCTCGAACCAGTAACCTGTAACACTACTAAAAATCTGCTACAAACCGACCAACTATTTCCGACCAACGTTGGTCGGTCAAAAAAAGCGACCAAAAACCGTCCAG